GCTTAGAAATCACTCCTGAACAAATTGAAGAATGTGTAAGATGAAAAATAGCTAATTATTGTACAATTCTTTTAAAATAATGCTCTTATTATCCCTTTGATGTTGGCCTAAACTGCCAGATTGCAACTGATTGTGAATGGATATTTTCCATATTTTGTAATAAACCATGGCCCTTCTTTATTCAATCATTAAAACATTGCTTCATTTATTCATTTGGTCTTTGCTAAATTTAGATTGAGAAAATCATCGATGAGTTCAAGGATCAACTCAAAGAAAAGCGATATCAGTTCAACACTGGACTTATTATTGGTAAAACTTTGTTCAAAATATCTAAGACACATAATTCAACAATTCAAGATGCTCTGCAAAGTCCAGTCTTCCTTGAGTCAGAGTTTTAATTTTTTATATACACCTAATTACAAAAACGTTKTCCTGAGATTTAAGGGTTTAGGAAATTAAGAATACATTAAAAGACAAAGTATGACCACTGAAGCCAAACACTTTCTTTTGTTTTTTAATTAATTCCTAAATAGTAAAAGTTCTTTTTTCTTGGACAACGTTTGTGTAATTAGGTGTATATTTGTTTTATAAATTTGGCATTCCAGAATATAGTCATGTGCTTATAAGGTATCAAATACTGTATCAGCAATTGTACTTATTGCATTAGGTAAAGCCAGAGAAAAGTTGAAATGGGCAGATGGAAAAGCTTTAAAATCAGAAATGGATATGCAGGTACTATATGATAAATTTAATAAACCATGTGCACAATATGATTTCTATTGCCACAGGAAGCCCATTTTAGCAATCTTTCAGCATCTACATACAGCTTCTAATTACAAACTATTTCAAATCAATGCAGACAGGAAAGTTAAACTCCATTTAAATCTTGTTCGTGCCTTTGATAATTCACAATTTAAATAGATTTTGGATCTTCTTGGACCTAAGACAGAGGCAGATAAAGTGAAACCATCAAAAGAAAAGGTGAAGATAGAAATTGGTACATTATATTGCAGAGTTTATGATTAATTGTGAGAGTGCCATCCATTGTTAAAATTATTGCATTAAATCATTTCAGTTTTTGTCATATCAAATGTTTTATTAAATTATGCATTTCAATTACACTATAAAATATGTAAGTTACATGTATAGTAAGTAATAAGGGACGGTCTATTTAACTTTTGAGGGGGGGGGGGGGATAATTTCTTGTGAGCAAGATTTTTTTTCTTTGTGGCTTTTGGGTAGGATATATTTGTTTTCTCTTGGTGGTGTGTAGGATTTTTTTTTCTTGTATGTAACAATTTTTTGGGCTTAGGGTGGTGCAAGATTTTTTTTTTCAGGTCCATCTGGGTGATATGAGAAAATGAGAAATTGAAAATCTTTATAAAATAGCTTTTATTAAAAGTCAATCAAATATTTATCGCTATAGAAATAGAATTTTATCTTAAAAAATGAAGTAATAAATAATTTTTTCTTTAATACCAAGAGACTCCCCTCCCTGATAAAAATAATTGGTCTGTGTTCTACGCGGGTTCTCCATTGCATGCGAAGCAATGGCCGACTTCACGAAGTCTTCAGAAGGTCGTTGAAGCGACGTTCAATTCCAAAATATCTTAGGAGGAACCACCGCAAATCCTTTTTCTTAGCTCTTGTTTCCTCTAAGCTTTGAGGTATCTACAACATCACGGAAAGAGCTAGAGCAGTTTAGCTCCACGTATTCCAATAGAGTTATTAAAGCGTTGTTATGTTTGGTAGTGACAACAGTCGTAGCTCATCCTTTGTCGCATTTTCGACAGTCTATCGTGCTCGACGATACAACAGGTTGACGTTATGTAACAGGTTGGTTACACATTTACTAGCTTTGACCTTACAACGAGAGCTAGAACGGTCACTGGGGTTTTTCGTGTAATGTCTTGATAGCGACTGTTTATGTTGAAACGACTCAAAACAAAATTCCATCGTGAAAAAAGTTCGACTAAATTCCCATCTGAAAAACACATGTGTATTTAAGGTGGAAAATGTTTGATATGAGCATTCAATTCTTAAAGGTTTAATTCTATAATCATTTTGTTTAGTTATGTAAATAAAT